TTTTTAAGGGAATTTAAAGTTTTATTTGTTTTGTAGAGTAAAAGTGAATATTAATATAGGTGGTGTTAGTTCACCTGGATCCATATTGGACAGTTCAGCAAAGTTAAGTGAGTTGAAGTGTGACGTCACTTCTGAATGGGGAGGGGTGCATCAGGGGGGCCCGCCCCCCAGGCTCTTGCTGGCGTTGATCTGCGGAGCTGCAACAACACACACTCCCACACACATGCACACAACAAACAGCAACAAGCTCCAGCCGTGAGGCGTTTAGGTGAGCTCGGATCTCAGAGTGACAGCAGCGACCAGCCGGAGAAAAGGAAGGAAAGAAGTGTCCGGATCGCTTCGGGCGGAGGAGATATCCCCRGCCAGTGACGCCCCCACCTCCTCTCCAAGCAGCAGCATCAGGACCACCAGGATGCAGGGGGAGATTCACGGTTTGTCTTTAACTGTTTGGCTTTGATGCGAATCCAGACTTGAAGTAAACTGGACCGTGAACGCTGCTCCGTGCGTGCTGTGTCCGTCAGGCTGAGCTTCATAAGGACGATGTTTGAGGATTTGAGGAAGTGGGAAACTAAAAAACGGACTGTCGCGTATTTTAGTTTCCCTGCTGAGGAAATATGTTGGCTTTAAAAACAGGTGGCCTCTGTGGCGCTGTGTGCACAGACAGAGAGTTATAAAAAGACCTGCATGCTGAATTATTGAACATCACACTGCAGCTCTGACAGGATGATGGACTCTTCAGGCTTTTTTTTTTTTTTTAATAAATGCAAAGAAAAGCAGAAAACTTGTCCCTGTAGACTTTACCAATCCCTTATGGATGACACAGCTTTTTTAAAAATGACCTCAGTGAAATGAGTCAGTCTTTACTGGAAGTTAAAAGTCCTGACATCATGTTATGGGATGACATCATGTTATGGGATGACCTTCATGATGTCAAAAGTCAAGATGAGCTGCAGCTGAAGACGAAGAGTCAAGATTTCTTCTCAATTATTGAGCAATTTAGATTTTCTTGGAGCTTTAATGTTTCTCAAAATAGAACCTGGCCTCGTTGCAGAGTTCTGTGTTGACAGGAGGGAGGGTGGGAATTAACTCTTTCACATAAATAAGATGGTTTGAGCTACATCCAGGCAGCTGTAATTCATGTGTTTAATTGTAGCACAAAGGTAAAAGGCAATCATGTTTTTTTTGGCCTGGTTTTTGTTTCTGTTAGCAAAATATATTAAATCAGTGAATAGATTTAAAAAAAAGTGTTGTTTGATGCAAAGTTAATCAACAACTGATTAATTTTTGCCATCAGTCACACTTAAAATGGCAAGAAATGTAAAACAAACTTATTTGAWATAAAAATAGCCATAACTCAACCCGTTTTATCCTCATTGAACTACAATTTGGTGTGCTAGTAGCTGAGAGTTATCTACAACACAAACTCAGAGGGCCCAACACATTGCCCGAGATTTAGTTTTAAAACTTTGCCGTGAAATATTGGTGTTAACTGTGTTTGTCTGTTAGTAAAATATCTCAAGAATAAACATACTGATTTTAATGAAACCTTCAGAAATGAATCACTTTATRCACAACTACAACTGATTCACTTTTGGAAGTAGCACAATTTAGGATAATCATTACAGCTAACTGAACTTGTGAAACACAAATATGACTACAACTCAGTCAGTTTTATAGATACAGAGTTAAAGTTTGGCGTAGTAATAGGTGAGACCGAACCTCAATATACACTTGGAGCACTTCACATTGGAGAATATTATACTTATTAACTTACACAATAATTTATGGAGTCAGTCATGCTTTCCTGTTAGCAAAATATCTCATGAACGACTGCATTGATTTTAATAAATCTCTCAGAAAGTAATCTTTAGGTATAGATCTACAACTGATTATTGTTTGAAGTCACCCTAGTTAAGATGCTCACCGCAGCTAAGCAAAATTATCCAACACAAAAAATTGCTTTAACTCAGCTAATTTTACAGAYATTGATCTGAAATTTGGTGTGGTAGTAGCTGAGAGTCACCCTCAATGTGCACTCTTGAGTGCCAACAAATCTGATGAGATCTCCTAATATTGTATAAGATTCTGCAAAATATTATTTGTAAAGTTTGAGCAAAATGCYCATAATTTTGGTATTCCTCATTTCAAATGTTTGTATGTATTTTATTCATGAGGCTCATAGAGACTTAAGCTAGTTTTTACAGCTCACAACAGGTTAAGACTTTTACTTTAGCACAGGGGTCCCCATACTTTTTCCCGTAAGGGCCACATAACTTTTCCCTTCTCTGGTGGGGGGCCGGAGTCAGTTTATAACAGAAAAAGTGTGACTRTTGCAGGAGTGCCTAAATGTAAAAATTTATTGTTTTTCCAGAAAGCACAATCAAATAACCCTCTCTGGGTTCTTCACAGTATGTATTCTGCTGAGCTAACAGTCCACTTTTTAGCTTTGAGAGTTTGTTTGCTCGCATTTGGCCTTGCAAGCTATCATACAGTCTTTGTGACGGGATTCATAGTGTCGCTGC